TTGTGTACGAACCCATTACAGCTGTACATTGTTGGGTCGGTTAAAAAAATTCCTAAACGTAAACGCATTGTTTTTGCCCGATGATGTCTAATTAATTTATTTGTATAGGTGCAAAGACTAATAGTTGTTTATAGAGCGCGCAATATCCGGTTTTCGATGTATACAAATTGTTTTACATAATGTGTAATTACTGCGACTGCAGTTGTTGTCACTGTTCATAGCTGTCTGTTTGGCCGCACACTATTTATTCAAATATATCGGTTACCGTCAACAGATATTTTCCATTCAGCTGTTGTTCTTAGTCTCGAATCTTATGTAATTATCGAAAACCGTTATTGTCGTGGAACCACTGCAGGCTCACATAAAATCGGAATACCGTCCAGACTATTGAAAACAACTCTTCCACAAAATGTGCGTTTGTTTATCAAATGACCATCTGTAAAACCACACGCAAAGCACCGGTTTTGACCGACGTTGTTTCCTTATTGCCAAACAATTGGCAAACACGCGTATGTGTACCGCGTAAACAAACAAACAAACACACGATTCTCTACGTAAACCCTGTGCGTTTTATTGTTGGTAAATTAATTTGTTTTTGACATATGAATCTGGGGTCAGCACAAAGGGTTCAAAACAGCGTATATTATTATTTTACTTTTTCCAAAGAGCTTTCCAGTTGCTTTAGCGTTTCATTATTATTTATTTTAATTAACCGGCTACGGCCTTGCCGAGAGTGTTTCGAGTAGTCTTTGCATTAGCCGTACGCACGGGCTCTAGTGTAATAACACTATTCAAATATTACTGCGGCTCTCCAGCGCCATTTTGGGGCACATGTGCGGCGTATTCGCTTGGGAATCCCACTCCCCAACGGGTCTTACGCACGAGGTGGGACTTTTGTATTAGGGAAATAAAAATGAGATATTGCATAGTCCGAAATGAGAACGTCGGTAATGACTAAAAACGCACGTATCCAGAGTATAAGCTCTTCATACGCGATAGGGTAGGAAAACGCATCGTTACCATAAAATAGCACAGACAACCGCAGCGCAGCCCGATTGATCTGCGGCGGATGTATGTGTTGGAAATAATGTTTACAAAAGTCTATTGTATTTATATCCTTGTGTTTCAAGTGGCAGTAAAAGTAGCTGTATAAACACGCCTCTTCGATTGGCTGTCCGCATGTAGTATTGGACGTTATCCAAAGGAAACAATTTGTGGGCTGAAGCTGGTTTCTTTTCTTGTCAGGCCAAAATAACAGTCTCTAAACTTTACGAAAACGCTCAGACGTGACTTTTTTCCCATCTCCAATGGCATACGTCTCGAAAAGCGCAATAAATCTGCTACCCTTATAAACGGCCGATGCAAATTCTAGAATACATTTTAAATCACAGCGTTGTATAAAAAGATTACAAATGCAGTAGTTGTATTGTTCTCATACACACTGTGAACACGACTTAGGTTGTAACGGCGTAGACTAACATAATGATATTTTGGATGATAAACAGTTGAACAGGGGTGGGGGTATTCCAATTGCTGTACAGAAGCAAAGTGAAATCTACATTTTATTAACTTATTTTTCTTCTTATTTTTTATTTCGGTAGAAGAGATAATGGTGATACCGGTATAATTTATAACGGATTACTAACGGATGTCTGAGGAAAGGGGTACAATAAAGTTGGAACAATATATAGTTTTATCCCCCGAGTGCTCAGGTATAAAATAACTACCGGAGAGTAGGACAAACGTTTTCCCGGAGGCAAGCGTTTTTTCTCATTTCCAGCCGTTTATTTACGATCCTTTTAAAAAACAAAAGCGCTTGTTTGGCTCAGTGTATTTTTTTAACTGTGCGCTATGAAGAGGAAATAATATTCTATGAAATACTGAAATATAAATAATTAGTATTTGGACGAGAACAATTTTTAAATACTCCGTTACAAAATAAATATGTTATATTGGTGAATTATGTTTTCTTTATTATTTAGTGAACAATTGATCTTCATTATCCAGCAGCGCAATTTTTCTAGCACATCAAAAACGGTATTAATTAAAAATTCAACATCTATTTGATAAATTCATTATTATACAAGTTCATATATTTTTGTTTGTATTATTATTAAAAAATATTTGTTGCGACTTAATGGATGTAATTTTACTTGTTATTAAAAAAATTATCACCTAAAATATTCTCTAGCCCTGATGATTCTTGACCATTCTTCTAAGCTAAACAATTTTCCATGTACTGCAAAACTCTTTTATTAGTAATGTTCGTTTCCGGGACATTTGTTTCCCAATTTAGCTATATAATACTATTCTTTGAAGTTACCCAATGGATATAGAAAATCTTTCTTCTACTTTAATACCTACTAAAGACATTACTTTTTGTTAGAATAAAAAATATTGTTGGATTGGTTGTAGAGAATCTGGCATAACAATATTACAGTTACAATAGGATTTGTTATTTCTTAAAACATTAATATCTCAATCGTATTTATAATAATATACAAATGTCGAAACAAAATCGCATTACTTATAAATATCTCGTGCATACGGTTTCGAATGTAGTGAATACTTTTATTAACAGAATATTTTATTTATGGCCGTTTTTTGGTTTGTATAGTTATACTGAGGCAACAGGTCAAAGAGATTCAAAAATAATGGATTTGATCACAAAATGGAACATTATTTAAAGATCACGCACGAGTTAGACTCTGTTGTACCTTTTATCCGACTGAAGAAATTCTCTAGAGAGATGATTTTGTTCCGAAATCTGATTCGTTATCGTCCTCTTAGCGTTGTGCCATGATTTTCAAATATTTTTATATTATAAGCAGCAATTTTTTTTCATATTATAAAGTTATAAAAAAACATTTATGATTCATATTATAAAAAGTTTCCAAGAAAACAGCGAGCACATGGATATATCTCTTTAAGTTTTTACTATCCTAAATAATTACAAAAGTCTTTACTAATAAAGACTTTTGTAATTATGTTTTAAATTGAAAAGAGATCACCAAAATAGCGTCGATATATTATGTGTAGAACTATTACTATTATGTCTCTTTGAAAATTTAAGAAACGCTTGGTTATTTTCTATTGAAAAAAATAACTTCAGTTGCTAATTATATGAGAATGTGTAATTCACTAAGATCTGACTATAATGTTTTTCTTCTATCAATCATAAATAACAATGTATTATATATTCTGTCAACTTACCTCAACATAAGCTAATGAATAATAAATGTTTGTTGCTATTGCTCATTGATACAATATTTAGATTCAATTACCAAGCAAATTGTTGCAAGTCATTGGGGCGTATGTCGTTATTGTAATATTGTTATACTACAGACACTTTAAGTGTTTTTACTTAGGGAGAGCTTCTGTGTGGTAGCTCATCATTGTGTAGGTACGTGTAAGTGAATATGATGACCGATGGTACGCGTACGTTGAACATATGGGTATTATAAAGGAAAATAAATGTTGTTACAGTGAAACCGTTGATGGCGTGACAGACAAGGGATTCAAAAGAGGTCAGAGGGTCGTTAAAATAACTTGCGCAACATTTAGTTGAAAACCAAAAAAAAATTGTCTTAAGTGAAATACATTTTTATTTTGAACCATTTAATGGAATTATTTCTACTTCAATTAACCCTAGAATTCCACAGTTGATAGTAATATAGTTATGAATTCTTTTAAATATACAATCACAATTAATGCATTTGTTACTCAACGGAAATAACTTCGAATATGTGTAATTACTAATTATACGACTGTCGGGTCACTTTTGTAAAATAAAAATCAAAGTATATTATCCAAACCAGTTTTGCTAATTTATTCTTTTTATACTGTATATACATGTGTTTCTGGAATTTTAAATAGAGAAAATCGGCTATATTATCTCGTGTTTTAATAGCAATTACATGTATTAAAAGAATTATGTACGGTCGTTCCGACAATTGATACAAAACATTATTTTCATGTAAGCCAAGTACCACGCGTGCACTGGTAAAATGCTAGTCTCTGGTTACCTCGATGTTGGTTACAACACCAACATCACCGCACCTCCAGTACTCACTCTTACAGTGGATAAGTAAGTGGTCTTGAAACTCGTGGGAGAGATTTATGCCTGCCGGTGGCACAGGTACATGAAGTCCAACCACTCAGAACTCTTAAACTTGGCCGACGCTTTTTCGCGGTCCATTACCAAATTATTTGATAATACTTTAAACGTGACGCCGCTAGTTAATCGGTTAGTTTCACATTACTTATCATTAAAGAATTTCCAGATATCTGATTATTTTATCTGCACTGCATAAAAATAAAAACTTTTTCATAATTATTATTTTTTAAGTAAAATTATTCTGTAAGGTTTTCTGTCTCGAGTCAATCAACATAACAGTAAACTCCCATCATCATATTTTCTGGATTTATTCACAAGAAATATTTCATCTTGAATTAAACTTTATGGTACTAATATTTATTCTGTTTAAGCTAATTTATAAACATTGCTTTTTTTTTTGTGTTGATTCTTTTAAAAGAGTTATTTTTTATGAAGGAATCCTTTGGGTAAAAATCGTCTGCTTAAAACAGTTGATATCATATTTTCTAATAAATGGTCATATCTATAGATATATTATTTATGCTCCCCACTCTACCCAGCGTTTTCTCATAGACACGTCTTGCAAAGTGTCAATACCAATAAACCACATTCGACTAGAGTAATGAAAGCTCGCTTTCGCCTCAAGGGAAATTTTTCAAAAAGCTTGGTCAATGTTTTTTCTTATATATTTTTTCCCTCTTTCGATGAAAAAAGCCCAAGTATATTAATTGCCTTCGAGGCGTAAAGAGTTTCTTCAAAACCACACAAAATGAAGGACGTGCTCAAAATAGCAATGGAATGGAATATTTGCAGCGTATTAAATGAATTTAAACTTTATTGTACTAATTTAATTATAGATACACAATTTCGTGAATTCTAAGTAGAACTTTTGTTTTATTTTCAGATAAGTGCTGTACGGTTTATCATTGTCAAGTTTTCCAGCTTCGGCCTACATTGTAAAAGGTATTAATAAAATCGAATTTTTAGTAGTATTCGGGTTCGTGAAGATGTGTCAATATTAATGGTTTTATTTCTCCCGTCCTCTTTCCATCAACTCCTTTATTACGACGAGTTCAAAGGCACACTGTCTGCGTGCCGTATTATAAACGTCATGTTTGCAATAAACGTCAAGGCACGGGCCTACGAAGCATTTCGTTCAGAGGGGAGTAACCGGAGTCCCTTTATAATAATGTGGCCTGGGCCAGTTAAAAAAAAAAAACATCTGCGATTAAATTGTCAACGGGGGCAGCTGCGATTTAGAGACCATCAACAAAAAAAGCGCTTTTGTTTCTGAGAGGGCTTTTTCAAGTTGAACGATCATGCAGGTTCGCGGCTATTTCTATGTTAGGAAAGCCCCTCTTTGAATACTGTTGATACCGTTATAATATACGCTATATGGACGCACATTTATTGCAATTTTTTTACCGATGAATAATCACTGAATGATTTGATCGAAGTGAAAATTTGTTTTATATTACAGTTAACCAACTAACAATCACAGTGTATTATGATTAGCTACTTATTGTCTCATCAATCAAATATTGTAGTGTTTAAAGTGCATTCATATTTTACTTAGGATGGGTTATATAAATCAATTTTCTTTATCTTTAAGTTATCTATAGAGTTTTCCAGAGTCTACTATATTTACGCATTGAACTTTCGAAAGTTAATTTCCGTTTTAAAAGAAAAACAGTATAAATAAATATCCGTTATCATTTGGATAGGATGGATTAGGGTCGGAAGTTGTGTTTGAAAAACGAGAAAAACTCACGTCTATACTTCATTGATGTACAGTCGAGGGGTTAAAATATAAATAAAAAATGACATGTTCCTTAGAGGTAAATTTCATTATTATTTTATAATTACAAAATTTTGTAGCTCATTTTGTAATTTATCTTATTTATAACCAGAAAGTTTTCATAAATCACATTTTAGCCTAACAAGATGAATAAACTCAGAATCGTATTATTATATACAAAAAAAAGCGGAACATTTTAAAATGGACCAAAGTTAAATAAATTTAAAACATATTTAATGTATTCTTAATAATAAATGTTTGCTATTTGTACATGAGAGTTGAATTGACAAAATACCATTTGCATATTCCTTTATATTTTATCGTTTTGTTTAAGTAAAACAAAGAAAACTTTTCTGTTTATTTTAATGTATTTGATTTTCAACTGTGCCTAAATTTGAATTGACGGTACACGAAAATAACAATAACACATTGATTTTTAGAAAAATATCAAAAACGTTTATGTGTTTTTTATTTGCGTATTTACATTTTGTTGACGACTACTTGCAAATTGTTTGCCTATTTGAATCAATATTGTTCTGTATATTTTTATTTAAGACAATCGACGTAGAAAAACAAATACTTTTATTTTTCACAGTATTTATTTTTATTTTTACTAATATTAGCATTATTATGTATTTGATTTATATGTTTTGATTTATGCAAATGTGTAGATTTAGGCATAATTAAAGTTCTTGTTTAGAAAGAATTATAAAGTGTAATCATTCTTTGACTTTTAAACAATTATGAAATCGACAAGTGATAACTCAATTTGTATTGAATTTCTATTATTATTTTCTCTTTTGGGGTATTTATTTTAAAGAATCAAAATTTGTTTGGATAACTTTTATTATATGTTATATATTTAGTTGTGATATTTTTTTTCGTTATTTCTCCGTCATGATAATGAATGTATGTTCGAAGTTGTGTACCAAGAGGGAGCAAATATAATAAATGTAGAACTCGAAACTGAACATGCATAGTCAAATCCATCCCATTGTTGGAAACTGTAATAATTTATGTTGGACTATACGTGCGAGTATTATAGCGAAAATTTACGGCATTTAGCCTGTATTTTGGCGGCTGAAACGTTACCCTTGGGCGTTACTAAACCCATCCTACCAAAAAGGTGTTGAAAGTGAATATATATATATAGGGAAAAAACTGCAGCATCACTGTACAATAATAAATTAGAAATAATCCAATGTATGTCATAAAAAAAAAAAAAAATGTTATTTAGTTACTAACTAATTCCATTGGCATTAAACTTAGAATAGAAACGCTGTATACTCGATCGATTTTTAACACAGAAAATTAAAATTATGATAAGTTACATAAATATCATATATCTTTACAAGTTATAAGGGATGATGGCGAATTTACTTTATGAATCAATACAAATTTTTACTATTAAATTTATTCGGATTTTTTAAAAGAAACACAATTAAGTTATTTTAGAAAAATATGCAAATGTAGACCAAAACGTCCTTCACACAAACAACAAAGAATGGTGTTAATACTCTTTCGCTACAATTTTCTAAGTTATAAATCAAATTTATGGATATTATTTAATTAGTTCATTGTTAAAATGAGAACTTATGTAGAACTCGTAAAATTTTAAAACCCAGTGCATTCATTTTATTGCTTTCACACGTGATGAGATTTTGAACAATAGAACATATAAATAAATGTATCAACACATTAGAAAGGATTATCGGCGATAGGAGTTTCAGAAACTGCCATATCCCTTAAAGTTGTAAAGTATCTTTAGAAGGCTATCACTGCTATAATATTGTGAGCACACGACATTCTATAGGATTGACCCCTCCCTTCATCTATATTCAAACCGGTGACGGTCAGCCCGCATTTAATCTAATAAAATATATAGATGCCTATTGTAAACATTGCGCAGCTGACACCCTGTGGACCATGTAGGAGGCTGGTTAGAACATAATGATTGTGCTGGCCTTTTGAATAAGCTGAAAATGAATAAGCGATATGTTTTTGGAAAAATAAAAGGACACAGAAACGAATTCAATATAAAATGTGAAAAATACAGTGATAAAGACACCAATTATTATTAGGAAGTGTGTACAATGATTTGTGTGTCTAGATGTGACAGATTTCACTATTCAGAACATCTGATATTGTTAAACAAGCGTAGAGCTATGAATTTTATTAGGGTTATTGTCGATACTGCTTATTGTGTTGACCCTTGATAACATTAGAAGCAATTACTGGATAAGAATAGTTTTTAGATCGTGTCTGCCTTAGAGTTAAACGATTTTTTATATCCTTGAATTTAATTCTATCATAATGAACATTTGAAATAATAGACATGGTAATTATAATTGTAAATAAAATGTATAGACTAATTGACCAATAAACATTTATGCATAATATCTACAGAAATGGTTTTTGCCCACAAAGTAAAACGTTTTTAAGAAACTAAAAATACTTGGAAGTCTTATCTTCTGTAATTCTGGTGCTACGTAGAAATTTAAATGATTTATGTTGCTAGAGAAATGTGCAACTTTTACAGCATGACAAATTTGAAAACCAAAGAATCATACAAACGGACGTTGAACGTGACCGGAGCGACCAACTGTGTTACACATATAGTTGCAATATTCAGGCAGGTGGTTACTTATGAACATAATTATCCTTATACTAAAGTTGTAATGTCCTTGTAGACTTTAATCATCTGGGATCGTGTTTTTTTTAAGTTATCCAGTGTACTACTTTACTGTTAAATTTGCATAATATATTCGCTTATTGTTGTCAAACTGATGGTATCTTGGTCTAAATGAATACGGTTACATGTAAATTGAGTGTGACTAAATTCTTTGAAATAAAGCATTAAAAAAGCATATAAATTCTACCCAGGATACGGTGTAAAAGCTTAATGTTGAGTTATTATAAAGCAGCACGAACCAATAGTTGTTTAACGAATGTAAAAAAAAATAACCACAGAAACGCCCACATTGACAATCTTTGGTGACGATTAAGTTATTTTATCATATTAAATCAACGATTATACTATTTCAAATAAAAATTAAATACACGCATTTTTTTAGTGTCCGTCCACTAGCTAGGGAGCTTTAAGCTTGAATAAAATAACCATAAAACCAACAAACATACACGCTCATTGTAAGCTGTTATTTTTACTTTGTCATTGGCACATTTTAACTTGTCTTTATGATTCACAGTAACATATTACAATTTATACATTTATATCATGTAATCTCTTATGCTCTCATTTTTAAAATAACTAGTAAATTGCTATCCATTTATAATTTGACGATTTTAAACAACGTTTCTATAATGTTATTTCTTCGCTATTCGAACTCGGTTGAAAATAAACAAATCAAAATCTGTTTTTCGCACAGTTTGATATTAAACATTTTAGTCAAAACCATCGTATTGTTCTACTAGTTTTAAACACGTGATCGCAATTTTATTGTTTTTGTACAAATAAAAGACCATGAATGACCTAATGCTATTAGCAAGCAATACACGGCATCCAATAGACAATAGAAAGTACATGTGGTAAAATCGACACTGTAAAAGTTATACTACCGTTACATTTGTAAAGTTTCTGAGGAAAAGTGCACCCTTGGGGTCGAGCAACAATGGGCGATCTACAAAATAATTTTGTATGAATGAAGTGGAGGTCTAAGGTAAATGACTACTATGTATAACTGCTTCACATCAACACCGCTACTGTATACATATACACACGCATGCACTCGTTTTCACACGCCCAGAGCTTTTTCTTTTCTATAATGCATTTCGATCATTTTATTCGGTACGAATGAGTACCCCCCTCGATGAGAATTCAGTCATATGTCCACAGTGGTATTGTTCTACCCTACACACAACGCTTCTGTGCGTGTGCTGTATTCCTTTTAGTTTTGTTAGCTCCCTTTCTCTACACTCGTACCAAAATATTTCGGTTGTGTAATACCAATAAGCACCGAATGGAATCAATGATACTCGTAGAGAAGAAAATATATATATATTTTAATACAAAATAATGAACATGTTTGTGCGTAACTTACCCTGCACTGCTAGTGTTTAAAATCATAAAACGCGTATGAGGCGTTTGCTTTTTAAAATGGCAAACGTATTAAGGACCTTTCATTTTGTACAAACATTGCGCATTATT